GTGGCCACATTGAAAACTTTACTGATAGAATTCAGTCTGCACCAAAGACAGGACTAGACACAGTTCACTAGTTACCGACTAGTGTCCAATCCAAAAATATCCAATACAGTCCTACAGAAGGACAACCGCGAGCCTGAATAGCTCAGTAGTAACGTCGTCGATGACTGCGGCACTGTGTGACGCGGATTCGAATGTCAGAAGGGACATGAGTTCCTTTGAGGTTGAAAATACGCCTTGCTGATGAGTGCCAACTAGCACGAAACCTAGGTCCTGTGGCCGTTTGCCTCCAACCATGTAATACCAACAATACACCTTCAAGCTTGGAGTTTAAAGATTCAGTAGCGGTGGTGGTTTTTTACTGTGTGTGTGTGGAGTTGTTAGCCTCACATACAAAACCTTCCCTCTTTTTGGCGTTTACTATCAGCTACAGATACACCAGTTACAGGAATCGAACCGCAAACCACATGAACAAGAACAGGATTTCAAGTAAACATCAAAAGACAGAGGTGGTGAAGATAATCAACCAACCAACCAAGATCAACAACCAGCACCAATCACTACCAAAGGAATATATTTGAAAGACGTCACTTCCTTCACTTATCTAGAAAGCTTTATTTCACTTACAGGTGGCACGGATGACGACGTCAAGGAAAGGCAGACCTTAAATATAAAGAATTATATTCAGATTTCCAGCACTAATTAATGTCAAGGCAGTAAGTCCCTCTGCATGCTTCAGAGCCTTGCGGAACTTATCAAGTGAAGGATTTTTCAACAGGCTTCTGCAAACTTGTATCAATAGTTGAAATCGCTGACTCCACTATACTGAAGATCAGATGGTCTGTGTCAAGAAGAATAGGCAACAAGGAGTGTCTGTCAATGAAACAATCAAGAACCAACCAAAAAACGGTGATGCACAGGTCACACGCTTAAGATACCGTTGAGTGGCATTCCGCAACATATTGACCCTGGAGTGGAACCCGAATTGTAAACAATCATAAGATGTGCATCCAAGGATAAAATGAAGGAGATTGAATGAAGAGAAGCAACTATGAAGCCAGCTAACTAAGAATTCAGACTTCTATGACCAGAATATCCCCAATGTGTATATTCGTCGAGTCAATCATTCATTACACGCATATGAGATCAATTATACCTTCTACCGAGATAATAAAAAACACAATGATATTACAAAATGCATGTAAAACAGGCAAATTCTACAAAATAATATAATAAACAGAAAAGAAGACCTTGTAAATTATTTTGAAAAAAAAACAACAAAAACAAAACGCCAACAAATGAATCGAAACATGCTAAACTGAAGAAACGAATCATGCTGTTTGTTGCACACTACTCCCGTGCAACACATTTACCTTCGATTGGTTGGAGGATTTCATCATGAGCTGACATCAGTTAGAGAGCCACTGAAAAACCAGCTGGGAGTACTGGAGAGCTGTTTCGTCCTAGTTTGGGATTCCTCATTAGTACACACCCACCGGGGTTCGAACCCAGGACCTTCTGGTTACAAGGCGAGCTCGTAGACCATTGAGCCACTGTTATGTCGTGAATTGGCAGAAGTTAGAATTCAAGAACCATTGGATCGGGTCCCAGTGGCTCAATGGTCTACGAGCTCGCCTTGTAACCAGAAGGCCTTGGATTCGAACCCCGGTGGGTGCGTACTGATGGGGAGTCCCAAACTAGACTGACGAAACAGCTATCCAGTACTCCCAGGTTTTCCAATGGTTATCTAACTGATGTCAGCTCATGATGAAATCCTCCAACGAATGAAACAAAAAATCCCTACAAATCCAATACTTGAACATTTACCTTCATGGATTACTTCTCTATCTGTATCCTGACCGTACTATTCTCGTATTGGACAGATCTACAGCCTGATTTTTTTTAATCATAATGTCAGCGCATTAGTAATGGATTTGCATTCGGTATTTCAACTACCTGCCCTTGTAGGCTTCTACACAACAATATGTTGTGCAAGGGTTTTTTTCTCTCTTTCTCTGTCTTATTCCGAATAGTTTATTATCTTAGGCCGTTGTAATTCAGTACTTCTTAAGGGGCTACCCTGCATGGTTCCATATAAGATTGTCTACTTAAGGTATTGAATCCTACGGTCTGTATAATGCCATTGTTCTTGTTACCTGGTTTATTGCAATTGTAAGCGTTTTTAAGATGCATGTGATGAGCTAGTTGAAGCCTGTCAATAAAGTACAGTGAACTCATAACTACCATGTGCTAGTGTACATGGTTTTAATCGTGTAAGTAATGCCGGCGATGGTATCTCTTCATTGAATGGTGTTGGTGGTGATATCAGACCAAGTTTAAGATCTTTGGAGTTATGTACCGCGTATAATTCTTCTGCAGCGTTTAAGTCCTACACAAGAAAGTGGATGGGTGGAAAATGCAATAGAAGATTCTGTCTTCTTTTTTTTAAAGAAGCTGACGAGCTATAGACTAGGGTGGGGGGGGGTTGCTCGAGCATACTGTTGTAAGTTCTGGACCCCAAATGTCAGGGATAAAGCCATATAACATGAAGCATTAACAGGTGTTTCATAGCGTATGTAGGGATTTTAGTGGCCGGTGTAACGAAAAAATTCTTTTGGATGATCTATTTATACTTATTCAGACATTTCAACTAACTTTGTAATTATGATACGTATTTCCCCCACCCCCCGTAGACTGTGTATGGATAATTTGACATTTACGCGCATAACATCCTGACTTTTGACCTTTACTATTTGACTTTGTCCTTGTTTAATTGTAGTACTAACCTTTATGGTTGTATGCATATTTATCGTGTGTTGTTTGACAATGAGTGAGTTTTGTTTTTGAGTGAATGAAGGAGCATTCTGACCTGGGACTGTCTGCGGGAAACCTTGTTATGTGTGATTCTTGTGGACAGAGCTTCTGATTCCACCTCGTTGAGTATGTTCTCCATGATCCTCTTACAGCTGAATTTTGGTCAACTAATTTTGTCTTACAGTTCTTCTTTTAAATATGATGGAGAAGATTTGTAGCTCAGGTGAATGATTTTGATGTGGTTGTGTTCTCTGAGCTGGCCAGTTAATTTGCGAAGCTTTCATCACCCTACTAGGTGACGTCTTCTTTCAGCGCATACTTCAATTCACTGAAGTGAGCTTTCAGATTTCTCCACGAATTTATTAATCATCTCTCCTGGTGACCTTGGACGTGATTGGTTGTTTTTGTGTGTTTTCACACCTTCTAGGCACTTGTATTGGAACTGATTGTTTCTTTGACTTGAACTTTGACCCTTTGTGTGTGAGTGAGGTTTCTTTCTTATCCTTTGATAAATTTTGTCAATCTCCATGTGTCTATTGATTGATGATTCACTGGAATGCCAAGCTTCACCCTACCATATATAAAGGATATATCAGAAATCACTACAAGACTCTTCAAACCTTGATGAGGAATTGACGTCGTACACAAACCAACAAAGTCATTTCACTCAATTCTATGTCAACCAAAAGACTCAACAGCGAAAGAAGATAAAACCAACATCATCTACAAAATAAATTGTAACAACTGCGAAAAACACTACATTGGACAAAGTGGACGTCCCCTGCGTCTTCGTATCCACGAACATAAGCTAGCCGTCAAAAGACATGACATCCACTCCCTCATATCACTCGCTGCATACAGACAACCACGGGCATCAATTCTATTGGGACAATATTCAAATATTAGACAGAGGAAACAACAGGAATGCTAGAGAATTTTTAGAAGCTTGGCATTCCAGTGAATCATCAATCAATAGACACATCGAGATTGACAAAATTTATCAACCGATAAGAAAGAAACCTCACTCACACACAAAGGGTCAAAGCTCAAGTCAAAGAAACAATCAGTTCCAATACAAGTGCCTAGAAGGTGTGAAAACACTCAAAAACAACCAAACACGTCCAAGGTCACCACCGGGAGAGATGATTAATAAACTCGTGGAGAAATCGAAAAAGTCACTTCAAATTGAAGTATGCGATGAAGATGTCACCTAGTAGGGTGATGAAAGCTTCGCAAATTAACTATCCAGCTCAGAGAACACAACCAGATCAACCAGCTAGCTAGCTAGCTAGCTAGTTGTCTACCTAACGGCGCTATTGAGGTAAATTTGAGTTTGATGTTATTGTTGTCGTGTTAGAACCGGTAAAATAAATTGGAGAATAATTGTCTTTTCCCTGCGTTTAAACGTTCCTTGATAGCATATGTCTCAGGCCGCAACCGAATAAATTTGATCGCTATATTAGTTGCTGGACAGTGCGGCTTGCTGGTCAGATTATCGAAAGTGATCTCAACGCAATGGATAGAGACAGTTTCGGGCATTTGACGCCCTGGCCTTTCTTATCAGCAGTGTACCCCTAACCCCTACCTAAACGAATCAAGTCAACTGAGACAGAGAAAGAGAGAGAGATTTCTAGCCTAGCTACTCTAAAAAATAAACACTACATGCATGATGCTTTAATAAATGAAGAATACGTATTTTAAAACAAAAAAGATACCAAAAATTCCAGACAAACAAACAACCAGAATGATTTTCATGACAACATAAGAAGGATACAAATAATAATAATAACAATAATAATAAAATTTGATAAAAGAACACTAACACCAACAGCAGTAGTAACACTGACGTTAACACCAACACTAAAAACGACAACAACAATAATAATAATAACAAAAGTAACAACGACATTGATGCTAATGAGGACAACATTAACAGAAGGAGATATTGAGAGAGAGAGAGAGAAAGTGGAAAGCGGCAAGGGATCCACAACGAGGACAACGACAACAACAACAAAAACACTAGCAAAAATACACAATTACACAAATGCAAAACAGCCAACAAACGAAGAGAAGAAGGAAGGGAAGGTGGGAGGGAGGGAGGGAGTACATGGACAAATAAATCAATAAATACCACATATAGAAAAACATGTGATTAATTAATTAACCAATTAATTACACATATAACAAACCATTTCATTTAGTTCTTCCAGCCACTGTCGGAATTATGAAGGAAGTAGAGATGAACAACAACAACAACAACAGCAATAAGGTAGAATTTAGCGGTAAAGTATACAATACGCATATACAATACATAAATAAACATACACATTAGTCAATGACAATCCTTAATTGATGAGGACGGCATGACTGTAGCAGTAAAATCCAGGGAGGCGTGTTTCAACCTACCTACCTATATCCCCAGTGAGTGAATGGATGAGTGATGGTGTTTCCAACCTCACTCAGAGACTCAAACCCAACAACACCTTCCCAACGCCCGCCACCTCTTTCATTTCAAGCGCCAAAGCGTTATATCCCTTAAACCGCTAAAACTGAGCCCCCATTTAAATTAACAAAAATAACAAATTGGTTCGAACAAAGGCTTTTAGAGGAATATATTACCGAAAAAAGAGAGAGAGAAAAGATTAAAAGGCAATCAAGTATCAGGGATTAATCACAAATTGACTTCCATTTGACAGAACCATTGAAAAATCAGCTAGGAGTACCGAGAAACTGTTTCGTCTTCGTTGTTTAGGACTCTGGCGTTCGCACTGAATATGGCGTATTGACAGAAGTTAAAACTGATTAACGATTGCAATCGATCAATCAATCAACCAATCTCAGTGGCTGATAAGTCAACGAGCTTCGCCTTCAAGGTCGTGGATCCGATCCTCAGTGGAGACACTGGTGCATACTGATGAAAAGGTGGACGAAATAAACAACTGACCAGCACTTCTTGATAATTATCAATAGTTCTCTTGGAATCGATGAAATCCCTGCATAACTAACACTTAACATTTAAGCATCACTTCATAGTTTACTTGTCTCCATATATTTTTAATAATATTATTGTTACTCTGAGTTCCGAGGAGAACACAGGGATTTAACAACACATCTCCACTTCGCAAAATTCCCTGCAGTCCTCTTTTCTGCGCTCCCGATTGCCCATAGTCTCTCATTACCTCCTCACACGACCTCCTCCATGTCACGTTCGGACCGAAACACCCACTCGTCCTTCCGCAATCGGGCTCCACTCGAGCGAAGCCCTAGTGTCCCACGTCATTTGACTGCCGTCTCAGCATGTGCCCAATCCATCTTCATTTTATCTGACATGTTTGTTTAGCGATAGGTTCTTGGTTTATTTGTTCCCAGAGTTTCTTGTTACTAAGTCTTCCTAGCTGACCATCTGATCTTCAACATGGAGACAGCGAAGTGGACAGCTGTTGATAAAAGTCTGCATCCGGCTTTTGGAAATGCTTTCAATAACACATCAAGTCTCTGGAACATATAGAAGAAACAACTTAACATTTGCGTTGTAAATCCCAATCCTCTTCTTTATGCAGCCGAGTCCAGGAGATTCCCAAACTGACTCCAGAGTGATGAGGGGGGACTTTGCTCTTCAGATTCTGCCTTTGACATCCTCATCTGTGCAGCATGCCTGTATTTAAGACTGTGCTTCTTAGCTAGATAAGTGAAGGAAGTGACCGCTTAAAATTTCTTCCATGGATAGTGACTAGTGGCGGTTGTTGCTGTTGCTGTTGGTGCTGGTTGTTTAGTTGGTTATCTTCACCTGAAGTTCTGTCTTTGTAGCCCACCTGTTCTGTCAGTTTGTTGGTTTTCGCCTGTAAGTCTTTGAGTTTATGTGTGACATCATAAACGTCTTGATGAACACTAACATATAAAAAGGTCACCTGGAATATATCCTACTAAAATTTTAAGGATTACAGCGTTGTAATCAAATTTTGTTATACTTAATAGGTGCGTAATGCTAAGGAGTCGGAGATCCAAACGAAACGATTGTCTATTATTATTATTATTACTATTATTTTAAGGTTTTCAATGCTTTTCTAAGCGGTATCACAATCCATCATGGTAAAAAAACAATCTACACCGAAATGCTAACTGTTACATATACGAAAATCTAAACAGTATCTCTAGCATTTCCTATAGCTTAATCAAACGAAATCATATAACTTCAAAGTATCAGTTCCAAGGCAGATTATCCTTCTCGTAAAAATAAATCTAATCCTTACAAACCAACTATTGAAAATTAATCTGATGCTCTCTAGTGACTTGCTACAGGATGGAGTTTCCTGGAGTCAGTTCTAGTGAGAAGTCATGACCAGTGAGGTCCATCCAGATGTCACGAGTAAGGATAGATGTCCCACCTACGACAGTGGTTGGGGTCGTGCTAAATCACGAATTGGTAGAAGTTAGAATTCATGAGCCATTGAATCGGGTCTCAGTGGCTGAATGGCATACGAGCTTGTCCCTTGTAACCGGAAGGTCCTGGGTTCGAGCCCCAGTGAGTGCGTACTGCCGATGATTCTCAAACTAGGATGAAACAGCTGTCCAGTACTCCCTGGTTTTCAATGGTCGCCTAACTGATATCAATCCGTGGTCAAACTAGTAGAAATAAATTTAGATACACACATTTTGAGTAAATGTGTTAAAGAACACTGTCAAGCATCGCACTGCAAACAGGAGGCACTCGTACACAGTTAAACATCCCTTCAGCACGTACCAAGGCATACACTTAAACAGATTAAGCAAACATAAATCTAATGTAAAAGCCACGGCTATGCGTGTGTTGAAAAGAAATTAGCTCAACACTCTACAACTATGCTAGAATCCAGTCTGCACATTTCGTCCCATTTGAGACTCATCAACTGGATGTAGCTGCATTCAACAGTCAGAGATGATGTTCCCGCTACACTCGGACCCAGTACCCATCGTTGTACAAAACTCCAATGCGTTATCCACTAAACCATCTCGGTTAAAAGAACCACATCTTGTGCAAAAGACATCAGTTGCAATTGGTATTTAAATTTAATTTTGATTTGCCCGTTGATTAATGGGACCAAAACAGTGGGCCTTTGTTGACATATCAGCTCCTAATACGGACGCTTCAACGAGTTCCTGTAGTTTAACATGCTTTTATTTGGTGGGTTTTGACTAGTAATGGAATCCAGTATGTAGAGTTCACGAAAATTACTGCAAGTTAATCCCCAGACATTGTCGAAGCACCCGTTCTAGGAGCCAACGTACCAAACAGAGGCCAAACAATTCAGTTCAATTAATCAACAGAAAAAATCGAGATTGAATTTAAAAACACAGTTTTTTTGACTCATACCCACTGCACAAGAGGTAACACCCAAGTCATCTAGTCGTTTCGTGAAACGATGCGTACTTGGTTCCAGCCTCAGTAGGAACACTATCACTTACTCAGTGGAGAATGCAGGTAAATCCAGTCCCAAATAGAATGAAGAGGCCATCCTGGATACCACTGCTAGTCACTATTCACCAAAATACTTCAGGTTGAATGCTCACACACCGTTGAGGCATCTGTGCACAAGGAGCTGCCGACATGTCAACCTGAGGCTGAGCATTTCGATTTAACCAATCACCAGGAAAGTCTAAACTGAATTAAAATTTCTATTTTATTATAATTAATTAGGCTCCTTATAAAGCGACTGTAGAGAGAAACTATCAAATGGTTACATTACTTTGCAATAATATCTAGCTACTTATAAAGCTTTATTTAAATTTTCGGGTATTGGTTATGTAGAGAATTTTGTTTGATTCGTTGGAGGATTTCATCAAGAGCTGACATCAGTGAGAGAACCATTGGAAAACCTGCAGGGAGTACTGGACAGCTGTTTCATCTTAGTTTGGGAGTCTTCAGCAATACGCCCCCCGCCAGGGTTCAAACCCAGGACCTGCTGTTTACAAGGCGAGCTCGTAGACTATTAAGCCACTGAGACCCGATCCAACGGCCCATGAATTCTAACTTCTGCCAATTCATGATTTGGCGCGGCCCCTTCGCAATCTCTTCTTCGAGGTATTAACTGTATTAACTCCTACATCACATTTTGAAAGTCATTTTTTCCCACCTACTTGAATGAGTTTCAAGACGATGTTAAGAGTAGCATTGAAAAAGTTACAGTGTGACACAAAACTTATCAAAAACACATAACAGAAGACACTTCCAGTATTATTAATATATACATCACTTTAAAAAATGTTTACGTCTATAGGTGAAGGTAACATTGAAAAAGCATGTGAATGTACGCCGTGACGAAAAACTCAACGAAGCCTTTGAAGTGAATACAGGAATACGACAAAGCTGTCTGACTGTTATCACCTTCGATGATATTCCTAATTGTAGTGGACTGGATTATGCGTCAGACAGTGCGTGGGGAGCGAGAAGACAAACAAACATTGGGACGATAAGAAGCCTCTGGACGATCTGCACTTTCGTGGAGGATTTACATCTCATGTCACACGAACTCGAAGACTTAAAGGCGAAAACGAACAAAATGACAGAACAGGTGGGCTACAAAGACAGGGCATCAAGTGAACATAGAGAAGAGGGAGGTGATGAAGATAACCAACTAAACAACCAGCACCAACAGCAACAGCAACAACCGCCACTAGTCACTATCCATGGAAGAAATTTTAAGCGGTCACTTCCTTCACTTATCTAGCTAGGAAGCACAGTTTCAAATACATGTAGACGGCACGGATGAGGATGTCAAAGGCAGAATCTGAAGAGCAAAGTCCCCCCTCATCACTCTGGAGTCAGTTTGGGAATCTCCTGGACTCGGCTGCATAAAGAAGAGGATTGGGATTTACAACGCAAATGTTAAGTTGTTTCTTCTATATGTTCCAGAGACTTGATGTGTTATTGAAAGCATTTCCAAAAGCCGGATGCAGACTTTTATCAACAGCTGTCCACTTCGCTGTCTCCATGTTGAAGATCAGATGGTCAGCTAGGAAGACTTAGTAACAAGAAAATCTGATTGATAGCGAACCAACCACGAACCAATTGCTTAACAAATATTTCGAAGAAAATGGTCAAGGATAGGACACATGCTGAGGAGACCAGTGAGTGGCATCGCGCACCAAGCGCCTTCGAGTGTAACGAGTAAGACATTTGAAAATAACATGGGAGGGATCGTTTGAGGAGGCGATGAAAGCCTATAGACAACTTTGGGGCCAGCCTGAGATGACTGCAGAGGACAGAACAAAATAGACATGTATTGTTGAAGCTCTATGTTCCCCTTAGAACCCAGGGGAATAATAATAACTACAATATATATAAGACGCCATGATACTTTCATAATGAGATGAGAGAAGCCACATCACAGTCTGATACTATATTTAATTGAAACTACTTACTAGACTATTCCTTAACTATTATTCACACATTCTAACCAACCTTTTGAATAAAGTACACACACACACACATGAGTAGTGTTCACGTGTCCTCATACAATATCAAGCCAGTTGAGAGGAAAAGCAGACAACCCGTATTAAGAGTTTATTTTTGTTTGAAAATAATGAAGGCTTACAACAGCTGAAGCGGAATGAGTAGAAAGTTGCGGTAGCGATGGGAAGTGTCGGGGTTGACCGTCTATCCTAGTGTGTGCTACTTAAAGTAATAAGCTATGAAACACACACCAGTGTATGTCAACCAGGTAATCAACATCATTTCCTCGAAATCAAAAGCCTAAATGAGCAGTATTGAGATTAGGCGTAGGGTGTGTTAGACTAAGAAAGAAGGCAAAAAAAATCAATCAATTCAGTTGTGAAGCTGCACAAATAGGGACAGCTAGGATATACATAAAATTATGCAGGCTAAGAAATTTAGCTATTTCGCGGATGATTTATGTTTGATGTCACACAAAATCGAAGACTTACAAGTGAAAACCGATAAACTGGTCGAAGAACCAGCAAAGACAGGACTCCAGGTGAACATAGACAAGACGGAGGTTATGAAAATAACCAACCAACAACAACCACAACAGCAGCAACATCCAGCGACAACCACCATCAACGGGAGGGATTTGAAAGAGGTTACTTCATCCACTTATCTAGGGAGCATTGTCTCAACTACAGGAGGAACGGACGAGGATGTCAAATCGAGAATCAGGAAGGCGAGAAACACATTCATCAACCTAAAACCAATCTGGAAACCTTCGTCACTCAACTCTGCATCAACAACAAAATTCGGATTTTCAATACAAACGTCAAGTCAGTCAGTTCTTCTATATGGATCAGAAACTTGGCAGGTCACAAAGAATATTTCCAACAGCCTGTTGCAGAACTTTATCAACAACTGTCTTCGTTCTATACTCAAGATCAGATGGCCGGAAAGAATCACCAACAAGAAACTATGGGAACAAGCAAAACAAGAACCAATAGCTCAACAAATATGCAGGAGAAAGTGGAGATGTATTGGACACCTGCTGAGGAGGCCGCTGGGTGACATCGCCCGTCAGGCCATAGCTCGAGTGGAACCCGAAAGGAAAGCGGTGAGTCGGATGTCCAAGGGTGACATGGAGGAGATCGTGTGAAGAGGAGCTGAAACAGTATGGAACAACATGGATGCAGGTGAAAAGTACAGCAGAAGACAGAAACGAGTGGAGACGTGCAGTTGACGCCCTATGTTCCACTAGGAACCCAAGGGAACAATAATAATAATAAGCAATTTAGCTAACCCGTCCTGCGATGTCATAATGTCCATGAAGTCTGACTGTCTGAGCCAGCCATGTAGGAAAGTGTAGACAGTTTATCTGTTAGCTGCCAAGGTACATTAGGAAGCAGTTGCTGGAGACTTTTGGTGATTTAATGGTAAGTCGTTCATAAAGATGATGCAGATACCTTCACTCCTGGATGTATTACATACAATCCTTATTGTCCATCATTGAAATATTCTTCCTCGCGTAAATTTCTATTCATCATAATGCCTCTCACAATTTCCTTTTTTTCTATATTTCTCCACTGTGGTATACACTTTGTGCAGTCACTTGAATTTCTGTTTATCTTTACAAAGCTATACGTTGGAAACGCATATGATTTATTTACAGGATTTCATCATGAGCTGACATTGGTTAGAGAACCACTGGAAAACCTGGGAGTACAGGAAAGCTGTTTCGTCCTAGTTTGGGGCTCTTCATCAGTACGCACCCATCGGGGTTCGAGCTCAGGACCTTCTGGTTACAAGGCTAACGAGCTCGTAGACCATTAAGCCACTGGGACCCGATCGAGTGGTCCATGAATTCTAACTTCTGCCAATTCACGATATAGCGCAACCGCTAGCCAATGTCTTCGACGAGTATTTGTCCTCACATCCGACCTGCTGCACCCTACTGGTCACGACTTCCCTACACACCAATACTTGAATAGCATATGATTTAGTCAGACAGTAGTCAGTAGCTACCTGCATGCAATTAGCAGTGTGCTACAATATCTATTCTATAAGACCTAATGATTCTACACGTGGCTGCAGAAACTCTTGTTAATTGCTTAATACTGACTGAGTTTCAACACAGAACATTACACAATAGTGCAACCAGTTCAAGTTGCCATACAAAAGTAGACAAAAAAGATTCAAAAAGAAAAACAATAATAAGCTGAAATAAGGAGAAAGAATAGTAACATGGGAAAATATGAAGGCCTAATGTATACAGGAGATCACAGAGACTGAAAAGCCGACTAACTGGTTTCAACATAGACAGAACTTTGCACAGATGTGCAGCAGTTCAACTTACCACTCCCTCTCGCCATGTATCACAGAAAGCAACAGAAGAGAGAGAGTAAAGGTAGGTTTAAAAGCGAGATAATGAACAGAAGTGTGAGGGGAAAAAGAGAATTTTTAAAAAATATGGAAGAACAAATAGAGTTTTAAGGGATGATATGACAAAGCACAAGAGTGAATGCATCTGTGCCAAATATTTGACAACGATAATTTTCAGCCATATCACCAATAACGGTTTCCAGTTGTCATTGGTTCTTACTATGCCGAGGACACAGACCAGGCAGCCTACACATTCCTACATTACTGGCTAAAACTAACTGTTAACGATTTCATTGACTGATGCTGCCATGTTTTCGTCCGACCCCTACTACTAGCAACCTGATCCATCCTGTCAGTTAATATTCCCCGTCGTCGAAGAAGGCGATCGATGCCCAACTTCAATATTACTCACCCTATTATACCACCACTTGAGATGGGAGACAGAAAGCAGATATCTATGATCAAAGACAACTGGCTAGCCTTTTCATATCTTCCAATTTCAATGGCCATTTCTCCCTCAAAGTCATTAAGGAGGACGGAGAGAACTGCTGCTATGCAGTACACACGCCGTTTGATAGATAGCCAGTGGGATATCACGACTACTCCAGAGATGGAGTAAGTTTGCAAATGCCAAATGAGACTTCTGTATCCGTGCTGAGATTTCGTCAGCTATCAACCCACTGACATTGGCTGATGCAGCTTCTCAAATAAATGAAGGGATTAACACGCTTTGCCAATTCACTTCACTCCCTATCTTAAAACTAGGATTGAGTCAATGTGGTCCAGTCCTGCAGGAGAGAATCACAAGCCAAACAGAGAGTCAATACATCTGCACAACTTGACAACGACTTTGAGCCATGTCACCTATTGTCTCCAGCCATTGATTCTTAGTCACGAAGGCCCCAACCCGGAAGTCTGCATTTCCCTACCTGACTCAGTTTAACTGTCAGGGATTTCATGGATTGATGCCATGTTTTCGTTTGGCCACCACTTACTCTTTTCCAACCTGCACCTGAATCAGCTAGTAATGCCCGTCCGTCGGGGGAGGCGATGGTTAGGCATGCGCAGCACGTCACCTAGCCATCTCAATCTATGTAACTTTATAGCCTCTTCGAGTGATTTTCCCTCTTTGCCCAACACTACGCCTAACGTCAACATTACTTACCTTATTATACCACCTAACGTGAGAAAGAGATCGTAGACATCTATGATCAAACACAGTCAACCTTTTCATGTCTTCAACTCGCATTGGCCATGTTTCAGAGCCATAGAGAAGGACGGAGCGAACTGTTGAGCAGTACACACGTCCCTTGGTTGATAGCTGACATTGCTCATCGAAAGGGAACACGGTGGCCTCGGCATGCACAACATGTGTCTTAGCCATCTTAATCGATGTAACTTCACAATTTCATCGATTGAGTTGGTTTTGTTTTTAGTAGGCTTGACGTCGATGGCATTAAACACAAGCTCTACACTATTATAATATTACTAGCAGTAGCAGTTGTGGTAGTCTTGCAATCTACACCTATAACAAGACAGTCTCCTTATCAGATTCAAATTGAAAAAAGTAACAATCAAAATGGCAGAATAATTCCACTTACACGTTTACGAATTTTCACTAATTCCTCTTGAGCTAATTCTGAATTCGATGTAGAAAACATACAATCCAACATCATACTTCTTTGTACATTGGCATGTTTATTAGATAATTGACGTGTTGATGTGTTACGCATATTAATTATTCTCTCCTTTAATTCTATTAACTTGACTTTCAGCTGTTTCAATGGTTTCTAGAAAAGAAAAGAAAAAATGGGAAAAAAAGAACCATCAAGGGAAAAATAATGAGTGGTAGTAAATTGCTTATTATCAAAGGGAGAGATTTGGTAGAGGTTACCTCCTTCACTTATCTAGGGAGCATTGTTTCAACCACAGGCCGGCGGAATGGAAGACGATGTCAAAGCCAGAATCAGAAAGGCAAGACACGCCTTCATCAGTGTGAAATCAGTATGGAAATCTTCTGCATCACACAGCATAAACAACAAGATTCAGATTCTGATCAACACAAATGGGAAGTCAGTCACTTGGCGTTTACGTTACAAACAAAATTTCCAACAGCCTGTCGCAGACTTTTATCAACAGCTGCCAACTCCGATGGCTCCACACTGATGCCCAAATGGCTCGCTGGCCAGAAAGAATTAGCAACACGAAACCATAGGAACAAATATGGGGGAGAAAATGGAGATGGATTGGGTACACACAGAGGAGACCATCGAATGACGTAGCGCGTCAGGCCCTCGAGTGAAAACCGGATGGGAAACAACGACAAGTGGGTCATCCGAGGGTTACACGGAGGAGATCGTGCGAGGAACGGATCAAAGATTATGGGAGATGGTGGACCCAGCTAAAGAGGACAGTGAAAAATAGATGAAAGTGGAAATGTGTTTTTGAAGCCCTATTTTCCATTCGGAACCCAAGGGAATATTAAACAAATAATATATACATATACATATGCATCATTAAAAAGACGGTCGCAGAGAAGAAAATTTTCCTTTTCAACAAAGTCATCATCAACTAGGCTTTACATTCGCGTATACAAATATTATTAAAAAAGGGTGAGAATGTTCCAGAACTATGTATCCGGCCAAGGGTCACATTAATAAAATCACAAAGTGTAATAATAAACAGGAAGATCGCATGCGTAACAAACATACTAGGATCATAATTACTGTGAAACTTGACTGTTATTGCAATTAGAAAGATTAAAAGTGTAGTAATAACAAAATTGGGTTGGAAGTTCGGATAAAAAAACAATAACACAGTAATGCAGATAGAGAATGAAAAACGTAAAACATAACAGAAAAATAAACAAGAAGAATAGATAAGGTAACTGGATAATAATTATTGATAGGGGACAACATAGCGAGGTCGTGAACTTTTGAATCCCTAGTGCCTCAGATAAGCCCAGCTGGATGGTTTGATTTAACTCCTTTTGACAGGTTTGATCAGATTTTGTATACAACCTTGAAGGACCTGTCAAATGGAGGTGAATGTCCCAAATTGACCAGATTTTCTCTTACCGAACTCTGTAAATACTTGTGTTCTACCTTTGCTGATCATGCTGGATAGCGTTTCCGAGAGCGTTTTATAAGAGGACACATTGCATAGCCAATGTAGTCAGCTCCACAAGAGCAAATGAACTGGTATATGCATGTTAAAGTGGCCCATTGCGGAAGTTCTTCTATCACTTGCTGGTTGAATAGTTTCATGGGAGAAGATGACACTCGTCGGCTGGTCGAGAAGTATGTTGTATTGAGAGATTTCGAAAGCCATCTACTATTAAATTCGAGGTTAAGCATCAGTATCTTTTTGCAGGCGACTTGGACTTTTCCAAACGTTTCCTTCTAGTATAAGATTTTTACCCAAGAATCTGATATGCAGTTTAGAGACTTAGCATAAGCGTCATCAAAAGCAGTACGAACAAGCTACTTAAGACTTTCATCGACACCTGAACTTGCCATCACTTCATACTGATGATCAGATATAGTCGATCAAAAAAGGATAAGCAACAAGAAACTCTAGCGGGCGAAAAACCAACCAAGAACCTATCAGTCTATAAATGTGTACCCGAAAGAAATCGATTTGGATATAGACACATTGAGTGACATCACGCGTTATGACCCTTGATTGGGATACCGAATGACGAGTTGCGTGTGGGTGCGAAGGTGACAAGAAGGAGAGATTGTGTGAGGAGGAGATGAGAAGTTAAGGGCCATTGCGTGAATCTAGCTAAGGATGACTTTCGAGAACAGAATGATGAAACGGTGATGTGCTGTTGAAGCCTTACATTCCTCTAGGAGGCCAAGGAAATGATAATAACAATAAGCTGTGATAAAGATTATACAGCATTACTGATTGCAGTAGGTAAAAGCTAGAGAGAATTAATTAATATGAGTTGCGATCAAGATTTGATCTGTTAACCCCCTGGTCGCCTAAAACTCAAGAAGTGAATATTGTATGTTTCGAACTGACGAGTGTTTAATTCAATCGGTCATATACTCATCACTGATGCGATGTATAATCTATCTGCACTAAGATCAAGATCTCTTCTGTTAGAGATTCAGTAAGAAATGCTGGGCATAGAGTGATGTTCAAATGAATAATTCTCACATTCCGTTTGCTGATCTGGTATGAATGTTTTCAGTGGAATAGTTAAAATTAAGTGAATGACTACATCACATTGAAAACAGTTCTCGTCCAATCATTAAAGGTTTAGGTGGTTCATCGTGGGAATGCTCGCCAATTTTTTTTTAAATTTTATTTATTTATTTTGATTACAGCTTTATGCCACACCGTATTTTCTGTACAAGTATGGAATTTTCAGCATGGATATCAGTAGCCCAAATTTACAGGCCGACCATAGATATCGAGTGTGCGTCGGCAGAGGATCGAACCCCGGACCATGTGCATGGTCGGCGAGAGTCCTAACCACTGTACCACCGACGCACACAAAATGCTTGTCACCGCCTCGAGGGTGGAGACAAGATGAGTTGGAGTACCTGGGCATCGATCCCAGTACCTCTCGCATGCCAAGCGAGCGCTCTACCATTTGAGCTGGTACACTGACGGACGTGGTCCAAGTTCGACCCTCTGCCGTCGCACTTCTAAAACTCGTTTAGCCAGTAAAAAGCCCAATAAAGAAGGAAATTTGAGCGTGTGAAACGAACAACCTCACCCCACGAAAAAAAGCACTACTACTGAAACAAGAAAGCTAAGACTTGAAGCCATATTACTGCAAAAGGGCTTCTTCTTCTTCGTCCCTAGATCGGTGTTGTTTGAAGATATGTAGCACATTTAGGTGTGACATTTCTGTCATCGTCTTAGCGAATATGCTGTTCGTGACACTGACAAAGTGATGCAAAGGAACCCGAATAGGAAGCGACGAATTAGACTTTCAAAATGTGACACATGGGGTCATCAGAAAAAACAATAACGAAGCTTAATCAATCACAGCAGACTTCACATGTGCAAATACGATTCGCAGATACATGGCTCAACTTTCTAAGAAACGGTCACAAACAGTACAGTACAGGGAGTAAACAACCAATCAGAAGATGTTACCTCTCTGCTAACAATAACGCTGATAATAATATACATAGAAATCTATAAATATCTCTTGATTTTGTCAATAAACGATCTGTTGCCTGGCCCTTGTTTTCTGTCGTTACAATATGACAAAGAATTGAAAGCTCAGGGACAGAGTTGTGTAACCAGCTGAAAGTAATGACACACAGAAAACGGAGTCCAGTGGAGATGTGCCCGATGTGAAAGGCTGTATATTCTATTTGAATTATTCATCTCCATAGTATCCCCCATGAACACAGTGATGTGAATACAACTTTGCTAATACTTAGGTCCACATGATCTATATCATAAATACAGGACTAAGAGTACAAACACATACAGCACACACACACACACAAGCACACAAAGACGAATACTATTCTGCCTATATACACTGAAACATCGAAATAAGTATAGACGAACAATTTATAACAATAATTAGAAAAGTATTGCATAATTATTCAAAACATAACCGGAAGTAGTAAATAAAAAAGGAGAGAGTGAGAGGGAGAGGAGAAAAAAAAGAGGTTAAAATAAAATAGAAAAACCTATACACAATTCAATCGAATAAACTATTTAATAATACGTCAAAAGTTAATCACATCTATGAGAATGATCGTAATAATAATGAGAGTTTTAATATGAATCAAATAAATGACAACACTTTCATCATAAACTTGATATCAGTTAGAGGCATAGAGAAAACCAGTAGAGAGTATTACTGGACAACTGTTTCACCCTAACTGCTTGCGACTCTTCATCAGTATACACACTTGTGATCGCACTCACTACGGATCGATATAAGGACCTTCAGGAGAAAAAGTGAGCTTATTGATAACCACTCAACCGCTGGAAACAATCAATCCAATAGCCCATCAATTTTAACTTCTACTAGTTCTCAATATACAGTGCGACTGACTGTCAACCAATGTCGTCTCAGTGAGCATTTGTCCGAGGACACATATTACGCATCATCTTTCTCTACGGAAATCTTAGCTAATAAAAGATCAGGTTGTTGGAAAAGAGCCAGTACATGGTGGTCAAACCAAAACATGACACGATCAGTCAATGAAATCCATAGCAGTTAGTTTAAGCCAGCTAGCCAGCAATGTAGGGAGGTGTAAACTTGGTGGCTGACTGTTTTTGGTGTTCTCGGGATTGTAAGAACCAATGACGGCTGGGAACTATTATATCGGTGATACGGCTGAAAATCATCTTTGTGATTTATCATATCCAGTAAAACTGTATTGTTCTTCCACCATATTACTACTACTACTACTCTTTTTCCCCCTCACTGCCCCTTCTGTTTATTACCCGTCTCTCTTTTGATGAACCCCTGTTTACTTTCTTTCTCTTGCTTTGTGTGATGCATGGATGGGAAGTAGTGGAAGTTGAACTGGTGCACATTTGTGCAAAGGTCTGTCTATTTTGAAAGGAGCCAGTCCTTCGTCCTACCACCCACTTGGAGACCCTACTGTTCCTGACTTCCCACTAGAATTTCATGAGACTTCCTCCTGTAGTCAGTCTGTCACTAGCGAGTAACTGATTAATTTTCAAGCCTTGATTTGCAAGGACTTGATTGATTTCGCGTTTAATCACCAAAATGACAACTGCCTCGTCTCTACAGGATTGATAACGAGTTGAAATCAGTTAGAGAACCACTGGAAAA